ACACCGCAATGACCTAATCAAGCTATACTGGCTGAGACGTATGCCTCTTGAGTTTCTGCCATGCCAGGAAGGTTGTTTGGATTGCGGTTAAACAAAAAGCAGCTACCCCATCCAATACCATGATTCAAACAAATTCACAAAATTTCATGCCGGATCGGCCGTGGCCCGGATTAACAACTACCGCGCTTCCTGCTGCCGTGTCACAGGGCAGGAGTGATAAGTATGCTACTGAGACACACCAAACAAAAGAGAACAAACAAAAACAGGTCGCATATGACCGGCCTCAAGCGGTTTCCCCCTGGGCTCTGCGGTCACGCAACCAACTTCCACGGTGTGGGCAGCCGGGAAGTAACAATCGCCCTCACAATCCGAAATACACACAAAACCTCTCTAATCCTCACAATCCGAAATGTTCAATACTGACATTGATAATACTCCCATTGAGAAGACTATCTGCGATCATGTGTGGAATTCTCGACATGTAATACTACATGTCAACTGATTTCCGCCTCACTCTACACAGCACAAGGAGAAATAACTAACGGAAGCATTTGGAGAAATCAAGTTGTCAGCAGAGTAGATAAGTGTCGAATTGAATGGATTCATCAAGAGAAATGGTGACGACGATATATTTGAAAATGAATAACTTTCCGTCTGATAGGTGACAGTGTTGAAATCTAAATGATATCACGACGAATTCCTCCTGGTGTCAGACAGCCTACTTCACATTCAAGCGTGAACGTGATCCACACGAACTGGTCCGCTCATAAGATGCTTATAGTATAGAGGACACTGAAATAGAAAGAAACTAAGTCAAGCAGAGAATACCTTGCAATAGTTCCATCCACTGACCTCTCTTGCTCAGTCATTCCATACCTGATCGACTCCTTAGAAAGTGTGGAGATGGCAATGGGATGCCCAACTGAGAAGTGAAAAACGCGACAAAACGACAATCATTGGATTTCACATCAAGTCAACAACAACCAAACAACATTTCCATAATCTCCAGATATCACAGAAGGCGACGTGTCAAAAGAGACGTATCAACTCGATGCAGTGTAATGAGTCGAAATGAGGTAGGAATTAACTCAGGATAACAGATTATATTATATTAAAGAAACAAATACAAATACAAGTATAAACTATGTATGTACACCATAAACTTGAAAACACACATTGAGGAGATTTCCGTCACAATCATGTACAAGATTGAATTGTTTCAGTTCACCATCCTCCAGTAGATCAGAATCAAAGACATGAGAGGAATCAATATCTCTCGAGTAAATATACTTCACTATGGACTCCCATTTCGCACAGTAATCCTCGTAGTATTGTTCACGTGTCTCACCGAAAATCTTCAATTGAGGATAGGTGAACAATTCGCTGTCAGCTTCAGCATACTTCAAGAAGGTGATTAGTCGACCATACAAACACGGAATATTGGCTTTCTCAGTGTAACATTTCTCATCTGTTAGTGATTTACTCTCTGTGTGACAGGTGGTATATTGGATCGTTAGAAAGTGTGTGAACTAATCTCCTGTGTGATATCAAAGACGTGTAGTCATTGAAGTATTTTATACATCTTGATTTGACCAACTTCTCAGCGATACAGTCGACTAGATAGACATCAGCCCATCCACCTGGTACACCATGAAAGCATTCGATTATGATTTCAGGCATATATACCACTCCTAGACCGAATGTACGTACAGCACGTACTTTAGTCCTACTATTCCAGTGTTTCATGACCGACGTTAAAATGTTCAATTTCGATATCCACCTGCCAGTTGTATACATGAGGAAGAGTTTGTCACACTCCTCAACTACTCCATATCTATTCATCATGTTACTCTGAATGATTTGCATTAGGTAGTCCACATTTCTTCGATGGGGAATGTGTTGACCTTGACGGAAGAAGCAGATGACTGATGCAATTATCACTGTGACACAGTCATCCAACATTTCTGGTTGTATGACTGTCTCCATCTCCTCAGTACTGGCAATGTTACTGTCTCTCCAGTCGCCATAAATCCAACTTCCATCCGGAACTTACGTCTTTGTTGATGGTGGTGATTCTTCGTCTGACTGTCGGCAGTCGGGGAACTCCAATCACTCCCATTTTTGTCGTCATCAGCATCATCATCACGCTGACCACCATCTTCGCCTTCGTTAGCCATCTTCTCACCGTCGGGCTTTCCACAGGGTACCATGTTAGAGGATTTCTTTCCAAGGAAACTAGAAAATCGTCCTGTAAATGATATCATCAGGAAATTGTCATTCGCTTTCCGATATTATTATGACATGTTCATCCTTGATTTATTATTTACTGGATGACGTTTCGAACAAAATTTATTGCTGTTCATAATCATTTCATCAGTAATAATCACACGACTTCGAATCTTCAGTTTTATTGTTTTCTTCTTTCTCTCCTATTTGTCGTTGTTGGGGTAGTAGAATTTTCCAGATATCTATGTGTACAGATGTTGAATCATTCTCATTACACGTATTTCCAGTTGATTCGATAAACAAAGCTTCCGCTATTATCAATCTCTCCCTCCACCCTATTGTTATATAAGATTTTAAAACTGTTAATTTATCCCATCATCACATTGTATGCTTGTGTGTAATTGCAATTATTGATTAAAATACAAAACAGTTCCAACAGTGGTGTGAGCACGGACAGTAATTTTGCTGGACATATTACCAAGAAGAAAACTTATCATTGTGTGTAAACTATTGAACTGCTGTTAAAACGACCTTTTATGCAGCTGATATCATAATAATTGAGAATGTGAAGCCAATATATTCATCTAAGCCCTTTGAACATGCGAAAAATGATGTCACATCCCACTGTATTCACCAACTTGAATGTATGTGTGGACACACACACACACACAGCAAACAGGGAGGACTCATCGATCTCTACAAGCAAGGACTAGCTTTATAAGCGAATGGAATATTCAGAGGCCATTAATGGTGAGAAGAGATGACTTAGCTCCTCTATTGCGAAACGCATTACATAGCAGGCACGTTATGCAATCGATGTCTGCACCCCTTTTAAGTCTATCAATCAGAGGTGTTTGGGGAATTTCGAAGAGTTTGTGTAAGCCCTAGTAATCAGAAAGTTCAAACCACCTTATGCGTTCAAAAGCGATTTGTCATCACAATAAGCCTGCCTTGGTAAACTTTGTTTTGATACCAGCCAGATTAGATGTACTATTACCTTATTTATGTCCAAACCAAGTTCACTTTTACCTTTTTGAAAAAATTTGGGCATTGGGTATATGACATTCATTATAATGAAGGTTTTCTTGTATTTCCCAATGAATCAAAAACAAAACGATATTGTCGTTTTTACTGACATTTCGCTATTTAACGCTAATAGCTTTGTCGAAGTATTATTAAACCGGAATTTATCGTCGTCATTCCATATATAGCAGAGACGTCACACGATATCAGAAGAGTATTCAATCAGCTCGACATTAGAGTTTCTTCGAAACATCAGACACACACACACACACTGCAAAGTAACCTTGTCGATATAAAAGACCAAATCAGTGAACATACTCTATCTAATTGTGTCTATAGAATAAAATACCTGCTTGGAATGTGATGCGATCTACATCGGACAAACAGAAGAAATGAGCACTGTAAAGCCACATCTCTTTGACCACCGAGAAATCCGGTTGAACTAGAAAAGCTTCAAAAATCATCAGCTGTGGTCCTCAACACGCTGGGCTATAGAATCAGACCACAAAATTGATTTTGACAATATTGAAATCATCATCCAGAAAAAGCATTTCAGAAATCACAAAGAACGTCTCATTTCATCAAAAGCACTTCATATCAAGTGGAATCCAAATTGTCTGAATAGAAATGATAGACTAAAACAGAATTTAACATGGTTACAACACCTCCCTCCCCCGTCAAGTGACAAAATCAACACGAATGTGATGAGCAAATTCACTATGCAAAAACACACAAGCTGCTTTGATAAGTTTACACACTGATCAAATCCAACAATCTACACTTGGTTTTGTTATCTTTAACAACTGGCCGACTTGACAACGAAAAATGACTCCAGACAGACGAAAGATGATCAAGTTAGTCAACTTTCATTTGATATCATGACAGATGTACTATTACAAAATGTCTACTTCTCACTCAACGCTCAATTATTTTGCAACTATCCGATCAAATCTTGATCACAGTTCATATGAGATGCACTATTACCTTTTTATTTGGTTTAGTGATCTTCATTGTTATTTTGACTTTCAATATGTCCTTTTAACTTGACCTAAGTCTATTTTCACACCTCTGGACTCTTCATTATATACATGCTGAGATTTTGTAAATTCCGGTTTAATAATACTACTCTGATAAAGCTATTAGCATCATTAAATAGCGAAAAGTTAGTAAAAACAATATCGTTTTGTTTTCATTCATTGGGAAATACAAAAACCTCTATTAGAATGTACTATTTCCCCTCTCATTCGGTTTAGTGATGCTCATCGTTATTTGAACTACAGTATGTCATTTTAACTTGACCTGAGTCTATATTCTCACCGCTTAACACTTTAATAGTTTCATATACATTCTTATGAAAAGTTCGTGTGTGCTGGATCAAATTGTTCGAAATGTGAAAACAACTGACCTACTTTCAAATTATTAATATCAATTCACTCAATGGATAAATAACATTCTCCACTCAGTGATTCATCCCACTCACTTCTATCCCCCTAAACATCACCTGAACAATCTCCAGGTTGATCGTACATAAACGAGTATAACAAATCACACGCTAGCTTAACTCTCAGTCATATTTGATTGGTTTGGTTGAAAGTGACATCTCATTGGTGGACTGACGTGATGATGGGCTGTTCAAATACACACACCCACACATTAATTATCAAACTCGCACGAATTCACAATTCCCCATTCACATCAACGATATACACTGACAAATTTTGCACATTCGAAATCAGATGGAGAGATTGATCGATGAACTGGCTAGTGTTGTGACGCACAACATGAGACTTGATGACGATTTCGACTGTGGACCATCAGATGTTTCTTGTGATTGGACAAAGCGCGAATTCGTCTTGGTGCTTGACAAGATGTTTCTTCCCGAAGTTGATGATGGTGTGGATCCGATTGAAGCGAAGAAATTATGGATGAGGTTTGGTGTGACAGCGGCTGCTCATGTGTACAAATCTGTTGGTCAGTGTGCATCACAAGCACTGCGTGTGTGGCTGACGAATGCAGCGTTAGCGGTGATTCTCCATGGACTTCTGGGAGAGTTGACGACGTCAACAGAGGGAGATGCAGGTGGAAACACAGCTTCTCCTGAAGAAGCCACAAGCGAATATATATCACTACCGGATGATGTATGTTCAAATGGTCGTGAGGATGGAAATTGGAGTTATGGCTGTTGGACAGTGGAGAATTTGGCGAGTAGTTCCGAGATGAGAGATGTTGTGAGAGGAGAGATGATGAATGCATGCATCTCAGTGATGATGGCGGCTGTTGTGAACTACTTTGAGGAGAGGTGTTACACACCGAGTGGCTTTCGGAGGGACAGCTACGCGTGGCGAATACTTCGAAGTGGTGTGATGGAGAAATATGGTCTGACAGATGAGGGTGATAAGGAGAAGGCGATGCTGATCACTGGTCGATGGGTCTCGAAATTGGTTGTTTTCCGTATGGCGACGGAACACCGACAGCTTCATCATCCAATCAGATCTGTGAAGGCGATTGGTTACAACAATCAGTCACTCAAGAAACTGGATGTCGGTAAATATTTCTATCAAGTACCAGCTGGTTTCACATACACTCGAATCGCCTACGCTATCGCCAACAGGATGGTTCGATCTGTGTGCATCCCCTTGTTCGAGAATCTCCATGAACTGAATGATCTCCGAAGGCTTCACCGTCAAATAATTGATGATCCATTCCACTACCACACAGATGGTGAATATTTGACCGGTTCACCGAGGACAACAACTACCGACACAGCGAACAACCTGTTCGGTCGACTCATCACATATCTCAGAATCTTTGAGCCGGAAAGTGAACTGATGCTGTATCCTCAGTTGTCTGTGAATGGAGAGACGCGTGAGAAGCACTATTTCGACTACAGTGAACGTTGGGAGAATATTTTGCGTGTGATTCGTGATGAGAGATATATGCCTTGTGAACAATGTCTACGAGATGTGTTGAAAATAAGCTGTGGTATTGGGGATCACTTCCCACCGGATGAAGAGATGGTGAAGAGCTGTTGGGATGAATACGGCGTTAGCGATGACATTCGCCAGAGAATTCTCAGTTGTTATTCATCAATCTACAACATGGAGATTCACTCAAGTGAAATTTCACGGTGATTTGCTAAATATTTTGTTTAACTTTAATTATAACATTTTGAATAAAGTTTACTTTATGTTGTGTGGTGTGTTTTCTCGTGATGGAGTGGTAGTGTATGTGAGTTAGTGTATACGCGCGCGAGGGCGAGAGAGAGAGAGTGAGTGAGTTGGTCGTTCGTTGGTACTTCGTGGTTCGGTAAGCGTGACATTTGCGTTTCAGAGTTATATTACGTTGTCAACGCAGGCAGTGTATGATGTAGACGGTGGATGTTTTCGTATAATTACAAGGAAACTTAATTGATATTGTGTGTAGGAGAAATAGGCGAATAGAATTGTGGGTGAGGTCGGCTTCCAAATCAGCCTGGAATGATGACGAAGGAGAGTAGAGTGAATCCAAGTCGAGTTGATTAAATAGTCGACAGTTATTTAGAATGACAACGCATGTATGAGAATGATGATTTCGCGAATGATCTCCCATCATCCTTATTTTCACTCTCAATTTATCTTTAAGCTTAATGAGTTTCGATTTGATTTCATGGTGACCACTGGATAAACTGAGAACTGTCCGAAGTGTAGGTTATTAGACGGTTCCATTGGAAGATATATCGAGTGTTTGTTAACCAGTGTATTGGTCAGGTGTAAGGGCTGATTAACATTCGATTGTCAGTCGATTTTTCATTCCGAGTTCTGCGTTTTGGTGCACTTTGGGTGACGACGGTATGTGTGACTAGTGGAATTCAGCACAGAAAGCGACTGTAACAGTCGCTGGATGTGTTAATTGGAAATGTTGGTCTCGCTTCCGTGACTTCTGACAGGTATAAATAAATACTGCGTCAGTTAGCTAGTGTAGTAGGAGAATATTAATTCGAATAAAGCAGGAATGACAAATGTACCGGGATAATTCATTTTTATTAATTCCTGGATACTTCTCAACTCGTATTGTCAAAAGAAGAGTACCGAAATTATCAATTGAATTGAATTGAATTAAATTAAATTAGCGATGTGGACATACTTGTTTTTAACAATGATAATGAGTAATTGATTGGAAGTGAGAGTAAGTAACATTGGTGAGGAATGATGTAGTCAGGTGTTGAATAGTAGAGAGTGAAAAGGATCTATTACTTCAATGAATGAATGAATGAATGGGTAATAAGAATTTGAAAGTAGGTCAAGTGAGGTGATAGTACTAAAAGTGCGAGGATCATAACCACAAAAAAGGTGAAGATGAAGTGGTGTGGATTGTGTGGATGGGATGAAAACCTCAACTATGTGTTGACAAATATTTCGTTCAATGTTTTGTTTGTATTACGAGTGCACAATATCGGGGGAAGAGACTCTCTTTTCAACGAATTTATTATCAAGCTGTACAATCGTATATGTATATGGTTTTTAATAAGAAATTATATCCGGTGAGGGAATTAGGTCACAGGTGTGAATACATGAAATAATAATAGTAGTAGTAGTAGTAGTAGTAGTATGAAATGCAATTGAAATATTTGTGATCATAATCACAGTTTAATGTCGAGAGGCAACATAATTAATGTCATATATAGAATAATATATAAGATGTATATATTTTGGAAAGTGGAGCATAGCTATAGGATTGGTAGGCGAATATAAAATGTTACATAACATGGTGTGAAATTTGATGAGATAGAATTCAATGTTGTAGGAATAAAAAAGTAAAAAGAAAAATTTTGGGTTGTGAATGACAAGTGGGTGAAGTGGAAAAAATTCAGAGTGAGAATAGTAACAATAATAATAATAATGACGATAATGATGGTGATAATAATAGTAATAATCGTAGTAATGAGGGAAAGGTACATGGAATAACCAAATAAACAAAATAAATGTATGTCTATCCGTCTACGGCCAAGGCAGATGTAGGGATTCCACATACTTCTTTTTATACAGAGGTCTGGCTTAAAGTCATGAATTTCTAAAGCCTCCTGTGTCTTTACTAGTCTGTAACCAAGAAAACATGTGGAAAGTTATCATGGATTCTGCATATTATGATGTTGAAAGCATGTTCAGTGTTGACAGAGTGACAGAAGTCGACCGGGTGTTCCAGAATAAAGCTTCGCATACACTTCCTTTCTCACTTGTAAAACCATGATGCTGGAATATGTGCTCCTATGCGTGTGGAAAGCGTCCTCTGACTACGGTCAATATGACTTGCTCCACAAGAGTAGGTGAACTGATAGATGTACATGGAGGTGGCCAGACGGAGAAGCTTATCTTTTACAGAGGTAGAGAACAACTTTCGCCTGGTGAATGTCATATGCAATTTCGCTGAAGAGAACATCTTAGTGACTGCTCGAGAGAGAGAAAGACGATGTTTGAGCATATCTGATGCTTGATCACCTTTGAATTCCATGTGCATGAATAAGGTTTTCTTTGAAAGTGAGTCGGTGACCAGTTTAGACTGCTTATCTTTCATGTTGGTGTCAATAAATCGGTTAGGGTGATCGTTTTCTGCGGTCGTTGCTTTTAGGATGTCAAGTTCTGAGTGAAGTCAATCAGAACTACAAACGTTCCTTATTTTAAAGCAGGACGAGTGGATTGGGTTCGTTTTCAATCAGATAGCCATGAAATTCATTCACTCTGCTTTAGGATGAAAGATAGGCAGTCTAACCTGGTCACCGTAGAGGGAGGGATAGACGTTTACTTATTTTGTTTATTCGGTAATTCTATATACCTTTTCCTCATGACTACGATTAATATTATCAAATAGTTATTATCAACTGAAAGGGGCACATTGAGACGACCAGACGAGTCAGCCCATCTTCTACATAGACGGAGAACAACTAACGCCTGGGGAACATCATTTGTAATCTTGCAGCAAACAACGTCTTGCAGACTGATTTAATTAATCTTATGACTGTCCGTGAAGTCATCATTACGTCTCTGCCTAACAAAGTCGGCTGTCTCCAATCCCTAATATCCTCACATGTGTGATAGAATGGTGGTGTTTCGGCTATACAAGAGACTTGGCTTCAACAACATTCGACGATAATCTAATCTCTTTCAATGAATATGAAGTCTTCCATCAGGACATGCATGGTGTATAGAAAACGCATGACAGAGGAGTAGCCACTTCTATTAAAACAACGTCTTCTACATCTAATCATGCATGTCCTCATTCTTCCAATGACAATATAGACTGTTCCACTGAGACAGTGTGGTGTGGTGTGGTGTCGTCCAAGGCACTTCAGTGAATATTCCTATATGTGCATAACAAATGTTTGCATGACTGCAGACTGAGGTCTCGCTGATATATCTAGCTTTGCGCACGAATTTACTGAATTCTCTGCTGCTATCTGCACAAATGGCTTGTCATTAGTCTGTGTTGACTTTATATTCTGCGATCACAGATTTCTGGTATCAGAGACTGTCTAGTTCGCTGCAAATAGCAAAACGCTCCGATATAGTTGTTTTATGAGGTGAGTTCGGCGCCTAAGTGTACTACCCATGCGAGACTGATGAGTATGTAGGTGGCAGGAACAAAGTTCTCTGTCGCAAACTGACAACGGAGATCGTCTCCCACAGATCTGTTCAGACAATCCTCGTTCCTAGTCGGCACCAACTTTAGGAACAAACAGTGACATTGCCTAACCTGGCCACTTCAGTCCCTGAATCAATACTCGACACAGATTGACCACATGGCGATGGGGTATCGTTGGCGAGAGTGAGTAGAAGACTTCCACTCCTCCTGGAACACATGCGTTGACTCCATGAACTCCCTAGTTCGCACACTTTTATGCTCACTATTAAACGGACAATGGAAACTGTTGTCAGCGAAGCAGTCACGCCCACAACTAGATCGACACACAGTCTCTATTTAAGCAAGAAATATCGAGACGAGCACCTGAGGTCGATAACGAGACTCCTCCTGAAGAAGCCTCGCACAATATGCAGTTGGCTGTAGACACAGGTGTAAAGGCTGTTAATAACCTGAAACCGGAAGTTCGTAAAATCCAGTGGATAAAAAAAAAAAAAAAAAAAAAAAAAAAAAAAAAAAAAAAAAAAAAAAAAAAAAAAAAAAAAAAAAAAAAAAAAAAAAAAAAAAAAAAAAAAAAAAAAAAAAAAAAAAAAAAAAAAAAAAAAAAAAAAAAAAAAAAAAAAAAAAAAAAAAAAAAAAAAAAAAAAAAAAAAAAAAAAAAAAAAAAAAAAAAAAAAAAAAAAAAAAAAAAAAAAAAAAAAAAAAAAAAAAAAAAAAAAAAAAAAAAAAAAAAAAAAAAAAAAAAAAAAAAAAAAAAAAAAAAAAAAAAAAGTTTGGCTGTGAATGGATGGAATTACGGGAAAATACATTACACTGACCAAGAAACTCACTCCACTCCCATAACTCATGCAATCAGCCAGGTGAGAGTGTCAGTGATGTTCACTCTTCCCATTTCTGTTTAATTTCATCATGGTTCCGTGTGCTAATAGACTAAGCACGTATACCATTAAGCCACAGGGACCCGATCCAATGGCCCATGAAATCCAACGTCTGCTAATTGACGATATAGAGCAAACGCTAGCCAATGTCTTCGGCGAGTATTTGTCCTCACACGCGATATGATGCACCCTACTGGTCACGATTTCCCACTAGAACCCCAGGTAACTACCTACCTGAATAGGGCCAGTCTTTATGTTTGGTTGATCTTCCGGATCCTCCCAAAGCCAGCTTCATTAAATATGCCGATGATGATCTAACCATTCGTGTTCCAGTAGTTCCTGCATTGCACTGTTCTTATATAATGAGTAGATTCTTATCTGAAGTTGACAAGTCGTCTCATCTAAATGGTCTTAAAACTGAATCCATCAAAATGTCATACTGGTGATTTTGGTTTCATGTGTGAACAATACTTGAGTGGACTGACTTGTTCAATCCTATGATGTCTGAAATATTGAGCTGTGGAGCTGTGATAGACAGTGAATCGATTTTGCCGACAGATTAAGAGATCTGAGTGCGATTGATGGGTTTCTGATATCTCATCATGTATCCTCCTTGTCGACTTGACTACAATTCTGTGTAT